ATTGAATTAATTCGCATACGGCATCGTATAATGTGAACAGAACTTTTTCTGGAGGAGGCTTTCTACGGTCCCCTTGACCTCTCATAATCTAATCTACGAGTATAGTATAAAGATCTGAGAATCATATCTCACTGACTCAAATTCCGAAGATGATAAGTGTTATGTTAGTATGAAGGTGTTTTGCCCTGACTTTGCTTGGGGTTTCAAAGTTTTGATGACCGCCTTATAAGTTGTAGGAATAATCTCGTGAGCCCTCATTTCTCAAAACAATCTACCATTAGTATGAATGATGGATCTGATCCTCTGATTCTTGACCTCCACGGGAGTCTGACTGTCCGGCACTATGAGTCCTCCGCCACAAATTCATTTGTTAAAGAGAGACTCCGGATTCATGTTCTATAAGCTTTTTGAAACTTTCTTCAAGTTTGTCTGTAACTTGAGTGGACCAAAAGCCTATCAGTCGCTGAAGAGGCATCGCCCGACTCTCTCTGCCGCCGTTCTAGACTCCATCGTCAGTCGTGGCCCACCGAGCCAGCCCAACCCTGAAGGTCCTTAGCAGCACTCTTCGTCGCAGCAGTCAAGCCTTGTTGGCTAAGTGGTATAGCGTCTCACTAGTATTAGTGACATGAGAAGATCGGCGGTTCGATTCCGCCACGAGGCAATGCGTAGCTCACACAACAGAGTGACACCTTTTGTTTTTGGATGTCATCGACCAGCTCCCGAATGAGGGCGATTCGCGACTGTGCTCCAGTTACCCAACGTTTTCTCGTTTGATGTGTCTACAGCTGGGCGCATTGCAGCTATTGGTATAATGATGCTGAAGAGCACAAGTTGCACAATCAGCGAGTGAATACAGTTGTATTGGCGCCGGAATTGCGTCCACAAGACATATATGTAGCTTGTTTGATACGCATTTTTGATAACAAGCGCACTTCGCAGAGAGTTGCCGGCGTTGGAGGAGTGGAGACAGCACGAGTAAAGGACCGGCATCGGCCGTCATCTTACTGTCGGAGTCTCTTGCCTTAACCACCTCCAAAGGTAGGCTTTACGTAAGGAACTTTGTGTATCCAAAGTGCCAAAGTAGCGGGGTTCTCCCGGTTGATGGTATCGGGATGCCATAAGCACCATGATATAAGAACTTCAGTCGTCTTCCGTTCATAGTGTACAAGCTATTCGCGTTCCTTCTTTACTCAAAGCGTTACTCTGCCAAGTTCCCCCCTCTCCTTCACTCGACCGAATCGCCAACAGAAGTGACAAGATGTCAGCCGCCGACATGGATCCCGCGCAGCGTCTCAAAGATCGGAAGCCGATCCCGAAGCCCGTTCCGGCTTATCTCCCGACCGCCGGCTCGGTGCTCACAGTCGACAAGGAGCTGTACGGATCCGCACAGCAGGCAAAGAGAGTGTTAATTGAGGAGTTCACGCTGCCAATTCGGTCAGGAAGAGCATGGAAAGCACCCGCCGGTTCAATTGTGAGGATCAGCACACCGGAGGGTCCTCAAGTCGGTACGTCGCGAAGATGAAAGATAAAGACTCCTCTTCTCAGAATGAGGGGTGCTCATTCCGACCACAGGTGACTTGAACATTTGGAACGCCCACAACCCCCGCGAACGCTTCTGGGCGAGTCGCACCAAGCAGCTCCACGCCAGCCATGTTTCGACGGGCGATCGCCTCTGGTCCAACTTGCCTTACATGCGCCCGCTAGCCACCATCATCAAGGACTCTCTGGACTGGTACGGCGAGGATGAGCACGGCGGGCGTGTGCACGATCTCCTCGGCACGCGCTGCGATCCGTACATCAACACCGTTCTCAGCGGTGGCAACTACAACTTCCAGTGTCATTCCAACTTGACGCGCGCGGTGCTGCCGTACGGGCTGAACGAGCAGGATGTCCATGACGTGATTAACATTTTCCAAGTAACTGGCTTGGATGAGCAGGGGCGGTACTTTATGAACCCCTGCCCTGCGCAACCTGGTGATCACCTTGAGTTTTTGGCTGAGCAGGATCTTTTGATGGCTTTGAGTAGGTGTTACCCCTTTTCCTTGTGAGCGTGTTTGCGCTGCGACTACATTGGATCCAACAGCCTGGATTGGTGAAAGCTGTTAAACAGCTGTGAGCACATGACTGACTGATATCGTAGGCACCTGCCCTGGTGGCGATCTCTCGCTTTGGGGCTTCGGCGAGGACAGCGAGGAGGAGATGATCAAATGCTGTCGCCCACTCAAGGTCGAGGTATTCCGTCTTGAGGACGAGAGTCTCTTGCAGCGTGGTGGCTGGAAGCCGGCTGAGGTTTCCAAATACAGCGGGCGTCACGGAATGAGCATTCCTCTGGGGGAAGTTCGCGAGTGATTTTGATAAAACGAGAGGGCTGTAGATGATGTTTTTAGAGGAGTACAAAGGCTGGAAGGGATAGGAGGTGATGACTGGAGTTAGGCGTGTAGATGAAGTGGGATGAGATCACTAGACATGAACCAGAACATGCATCAACATCGATGCCTCACATCAGGGTGAATCTTTAGATGTAATTTCCAAGTGGCCTATGATCTTTCCGGTCCCTTGCGCCTCCCAATGCCAAAGTACGGTCTATCCCGCTGAATTGGCAGCACTGCCGGCAGCAACCCCAAGTGATACGGATTATTCGCATCGACCCCAAACATGACCGACGCCGAACTCCTCTTCTGCATCGTCACCTCATCAGCAGCACAGCTTCCATGCAATTCCTGGTCCCACCACGGTCCTCTAACGGCATTCGCAATAGCCAAGAACGTCGCTGCTCTGAACGGCAGACCGCGCGACTTGCTCCTCCATATATCCAGACAACTGACAAAGAAGACGACGCTCAGCATCGCCAGCACGATCCACAGCACCACTGTCCGCATGATGTACACATCCTCCTTGACCCTCGCCACTGCAGGCACGCTGGCGGTGCCAAAGTACCCTGCCGTCGAGATGGCGGCGATGGACTGTGCAATGTTGCCGAAGAAGTGGCCCCAGTCTGCTGATGTGGGGATCGCGTAGAGAGTATCGATCGTTTTGTCAACGATTTGGAGCTGCTCGCGGAAGATCCACCAGGGAATGGCAGTCATGTAGTCCTTCAGTACGTTTAATGCCGCCTTATCGATGGCTGTGGTGTTCGATCCTGGGTTGCCCACGCAATCCGTCATCAAGGTGCCGTTGAACGTGCAGGCGCCGACTTCCCATGAGAATTCGGGAGTGCACTTGGTGCGGGAGATCCAGTGACCCTCGGCAGTCTGTGTAAGGCTGCTATCATTGGTGAGAGTCTCGGCTTTGAGGGATGAGGAGGGGCCTGCGGAGATGAAGTATGTGGTGCCACCGATGGGAACGTTGTTGATGGAGTTGTTGGCTGCGCTGTTCCAGAGGCGCAGACTCTGCGATTCCTGTTTTCTGGGGGCGAGATCGATCGTCTGGTTGGTGGAATCGGGAAGGGTAAAGGTGTATGAAGCGTTGCCGCCGTTGACGGAGGTGGTGAATGGTATTTCGGTCGCTGCTTCGCAGTTGGCGTCCCAGTGATACAGGATAAGGCCGTGGTAGGTCGTGTTGACGTTGAAGGTTAGGTTGTGCGTCGGAATGGGACCAATGACGCCCGAGAAGACGTCGACGAGGGCACTTTGGCTGACGATGTTACCAACAAAGGTGTAGACGGTTCGCGAAAGGAAGTTGTCGTTGTCATCAAGAGTCTGCTTGAAGGTTCCCTGCCCGTCCCAACCCATCGCGTTGGCCAATCTCGTAACGGAGGAGTCGTTTGAGGGAAGGATGGGCATTCCGACGACGTCAACTCCGGTGATGTTTTCGTAATAAGCTCCGGTCGTGAGCATAAGAGTGCCGACGGGAACGATCGAGGTGCGAATGACGATGAGTGCGGCCTGCATGACGGCGTACCACCACGAGTATTTCCCCAGTATCCGCAGCGTCCAAGCACTCGAGTCGTCTCCTATCTTGTCCAAGTCCGCCAAGAGAACCGGCCGCTGCGCCGTGAGAGCGAAGAGTCGAAGGTGTCGGAAGTCGTGCATGATCCATTGGACCAACATGCCCGCCGGGGCAAGTAATGCTGAGAGGGCGATACCAGAGTAAAGCTGATCGACCTTCAAGGAGTCTGGCGTGCGAAAGACGCGTTGCATGTAGTAGTCTCTGTCGACCGCGGGTCCCTGATACGACCAGACAACCGCCGCCACCGCAGCAAGAAGGTATACCAAGATGCAAGAGATGTAAATCTTGAGAAACTTGAAATCCTGGAACCTAAACATGCGTTCGGCCGTGGTCCCGCCATAGTGTAGCTGTCCGTCCGACGGCAAAGACCCACTTTGCGGCATGTTCTTTTCGGCAGAGGCCCGGTCCTCATCGGACACATCCCGTTGGAGGGAGCTGTACTCAATTTTCGAAGCCATGGCAAAAGAAACGACCGTATTCCTACCCGAATTTCCTGAACCTTGAGAAACGTGAGCACGCGAGCAGGAGATGAACAGAGATTTTAAGAGATACCTTTTCCGCCACATGTTCCTACACGGACACGGACACGGAGCAGACACACCCTTGCTTCCAAGGTCTGTGAATCTACTGCATGTCAGCCTCTAATTTTGTAGCCTGACGATCCTTCGACGACCCGCCCGGGTGGGATCAACGTTGGGCTGAAGGTCTAGCCCATCTTACGCAGCCACCAGAATAGAGCCAGCTCTTAATTGGACAGTCCTTGCCCCGGAGTGAGAACAAGCATAACTAGGTACCCGCGCCTAGGGTGGCATCTGAATCAAGCTACCGAGCGCTGCGTGCGCCAAGACCGGCTTACTGTCAGCCACTGTTTGGAGACTTGTTGAGGCCTACCAGAGGGATGGGGAATGATGCGTGCACTGCGGACAAATAGGTAAAGTCTGAATTGCATGTCAGAGGGCGGAAAGGCGACCTGGATTGAGGGTATCTTACACACGTTATTTTGAGGCTCTGCTGATTCTGCCATCTGTAACACTACCATTGCCATCTCTGATTTAGAAGGAGCTCAACTCATTCCGGCCGTTCAGCCCGTTCTTCATTATCTTAACCCTCTGCCTCAACCCCGAATCACCTTTGGATATTGCTTCCCAAATCATCTTCTCAACTGCATTGTCATCTTTCAATGTAGCTTCCTGAATCAGACCTTCCGTCTCCAATGACACAATCTGGCTTAGTGACATCCACACATTTCCCAAGCTGCTGCAGGTAGTCAACTTGAGAAACAGAATAGAGGCAGCTGCAACGAGGCCTAGGTGTAACACGATGATAGCAACGATGATACCAAACCCAACCCACCGGACGGGAATCAGTTTTTCCTCTGTCATGGCGTACGTCGCTGGCCAAGCATTCCGAAAGTAAGGCAAGGTATCGTAGTAAGACATTTGCTGAGTGACTGTGAGGATGGCCTGTAGTGCCTCTGGTACGCTCAAGCTCGTCCTGAGCACGTCTTGAAAGAGCGCAGAATGTGCGTAATGAACGGCACGGGAGGAATATCCACCTGTCCGTAGCATCCTACAGGGCGATGGATCGATTAAGGGGTCGTGCAGGCTGCGTGTCATGAAAGGAAGTTGAGAGGTGACTACGTCGAGTGACAGTCTATGATCCTCACTCTTCCAACTTTTCTTCGGAATAAGTTCGAGTAGTTCCGGGCTAGGGTCTCCGCCGGGAGGTTCTTTGCAGATGCTGGAATACTGGTCCCGAATGATATTCGTGGTGTACTGGGTATTCGGGCTGTCCCAAGCTAGGATCGGTTCGTGGCCATCAACCTTACTGGACATGCTAACATTTTGCACATGGCCCTGCAAGTTTGCGAAGCATGCGGTGACCGAGACACCTACTCTCTTGGCATGTCCTTCCCATGGTATGTCAACACTATTCCACATCCCGTCCGAGGTCGATATCCATTTGTCGGCAGAGGCTTCCCAGCGGCTGGTGCTGCCGTTCAAGTTGCCATGAACCCGGAGACCCTGATGCCACTGAGGCATTGTCCCAATGCCGTTGAATACAAGAAATATAGAGGTGTAAGTCGTGTTCAGTGCTGAAAAGGGTGAGGGAAGAAATGGCATGGTGTAATTCTTCCCATCCGGCCATGTCCGATTTTCTCCCCGACCCACTGAACAGATCGAAAAGTTGTCAATTTGTGAAGCGAGGGGTTCGCCTTTGGAGTAACCATGAATATCTTCAGCGGGAACCACACAGTTGAAAGGCCACTTTGGCTCATCTATCTGGTTTTGGCCTCGGTTGATCGGCAGCTGGTCGTAGTCTCCTTGTATGTCAAACTGCCCGAGGACATTGAACTCGCTGTAGGTCTCTAGCCGTGTATCGTTTGAGAAGTCAAAGGCAACCGCAGAAAATGTGACGTTCCGGATGACAGGTCTGACGCAGACCACTCTAGAGTCTATGTCGGATTGGAAGTCTAATTCGACCGCGGCATACGGCCGACTGCGCAGGGGCTAATTAGGGGCCCTATTTATAATTATCGTAGCTAGCCTAACCTGCGGTTAGAACTTCCTTTTTATACCTACTACGTAAATATTTATATAGTTTAATTAATCTCTTTATTAACTACGGTTCAAACTAACTACCTTATAATAGGGATATTAATACTAATTAGTAATTAAATTTTACTATTATAAATTAATAAAGTATCTTATTATATAAAAAAAACGACTTCTTAATACTATATAAAATAGGAGATTTATATTAATTAACTTTATAAAAATAAATAAAAAAATAGGTAATTTTTAAATACCGTACGGAATTAAGTAATTATAGCCCTTTATTACTTACGAGAGGTTAACGTTTACTATATTAAACTATATTAATTAATAAAACTACTTAAATAACTAGTTTTTTATTATTACTTTAAGTAGCTTTTTTACTAAATAACTTTTCTATAGCTAGCCCGTAATAAGAAATTAACTAGTTAAATTAATAAAAAGAAATACTTATATAGCGACTACTTATTTAATTAATTAGTATAATAAATAAGCTTAATAATAAAGTATAAAAAAGTATTACGTAATTAAGAAAAGGGATTTTTAAATATAAATATTCTTAGTTAGTATAGTAAGAAGTATATAAGAGTTATTAAGCTAAGAAATTTATAATATATAAAAAAGTTTATTATTATAAAAATTTTATAAATATAACTTTAAGCCTATAATCTAAATAACCTCTTCGTAGTTCTTTTAATTACCTCTCGGGTATTATTTAAAAATATAATATAGGGGACGGTTTAATAAGGGAGGAGGGGATTTAGAGGTCTTAATAATATTAAATTAAGAATATTACGAATCTTAGAGATTAATTTAAAAAGAAAGTAGTTATTTTAAAATAATCCTATAACTTTTTAATAAAGTTATTATTAGCCTAAGAAAAGGCTAAAAAAATAAGGATTTAAGAGAAAAAGAAAAGAATTTTTTAGAGAATTATTAAAGGGCTTTTTTTTATACTAGCTCCCGGTACGAAATTACTAATTTTAAAAAATTAACTAAGTAATAAAAGAGATTATTAATAAATAATAATTACTTAATTATAATTAAGCTATAAAAAGACTATTTAAAAAATATAAAATAGGGTACTAAGAGGTTATAAAAAACGAGATTTCTAAAGTATTTAACCTTTTTATATACGAGTAATAAGTAAGTATTTTTAATAAGTCCTTAAAGTTTATAATTTTATAAAAAAGAGAGCTTAATTTTATTAACTATACTTAATAATTTATACGGCTCTTAATAGCTTATATAGCTCTTTTACGAGCCGCTCGGCGTTTATTTTTAATTATTTTTATAAAATACTATTTTAAAAAAAATAAGTTAAAAAAGGAGGCTATTTAAAAATTATAAAGAGTATAAAGCTTAAGAAGCTAAAGATATATAAAATAATAAAAATTAGTAACTAATAAAGATCCTAAGACTAATTATTATATTATTTTATAGTAATATAAACGTCTATTACTATTATTAAAAAAAGAAATTATTAAAACCTACCCTTTTATATTAAATAAGAAAGAGGATCTTAATAAGTATAATAACTAACGATCTAAAAAAGTAGTAATAATTATTAAAAATAATAAAAACGAGAATAATAGCGAAATAGTAAGAAAAAGCGAGAATTTTTTAAACTTTAATAAATTCGTTAAGTAATAAAAGTACGGATTTATTACGGTTAGTACGTAAATTAAATATATCCTTATTAAAATTAAATACGTTAGTAATTATTAATATAAATATAAGCTAGAGTACAACCCTTAGCGAGTTAAAGTAAAGAAAAAAACGACGAAATCTAATTTTAAATAGAATCTTAATTTTTTATAAGTAAGTAAATATTAACTTAAATTATTAAGAGACGTAAATATATAGAATTATAAATTAGCTTAATAATAAATAAATTAATATAGTATTAATATATTTAACTAAGATTTATAAAAAAAAGGGGCTATAGGAATAACCCCTATTTTATAAGATCGTAAACGACCTTAGTTATTAACTAAACGAATAGTTTATAAGTATAAGCTTAGGAATTATAAAAATAATTAATAAATTCTTTTATAAGCGAGGGGTATTATTAGCGTAGTTATAGTTATAAAAACCGTATAAAATCCTAATAATAATAATTATAAAAGAGGAATTCGTATTATAGAACTAAGTATAAGTTAATAAAGTATATAATCGCTTTAATAAATTTAGAAAAAGGGTAAATAATATAGATTTCCTTTTTATAATTACTAATAATAATTTATTATTATAAAAGGATATATAAAAATAAAATATAATATTAAAAGTATAATAATTAATAATTCTATTTATTTTGATTTATAGTTTATTATTATTATTAATACGAAATTCGGCACTAATCGGCTAATAAAAAAAGAAGTAAATAACCTAAAGTTATTAATAATACATAGCTACGTAGGGATCGTATATAAATATTAAAAATATAATAGTAAATATAAAGTAATTTACTAACTTTAAAAAAATCTTTTTAAAAGAGAAATTATACTCTAAGGGGAAATATAAGGTTTTATAAAAAACCCTAATAATATTTTATAACTATTATAAAAAGGTTAGGATTAGGGAATATTAATACTATTTAGTAATTAATATTATATTTATAAATAAAGCCTCTAATTATTATTACGAAGCGGTACGTAATTTTAATTAAAACGACTTTTTTAGTATTATTAATATAATCCGAAGCTATTTTAAGATTTATAATAAAAACCTAGAGCTCTTATTTAAGTTATAAGCGATTTTTTTTATATTTATAGTTAGGATAATAAAGGGTAAATTATAAGTAAAGATCTTTAAAGAGCTTATTAATCGAATTAATAAATTAATAAAAACCTAGTTAAATAAGAGAACTAATAAGTAAAAAATTAGATATTTTTATATTATAATTTAGTATATATTAAAAATAAAAATAACTTTATACTAAGTACCCGAAGATTACGAGACGCTTTACTCGAGGTTAAGGTCTAGCTTTAATATTAAAATAAAAATACTATACTAAACCTATTTCTAAATATATAACGGCCCTTATTAATAATATTAAGTCGATCGAACGTATAATAAAAAAAAAAGAGGCTAGATATAGTAATCATTAGTAAAGAGGCCTAGATTTATTAAATAAGTAGAGATTTATTTTATAAATAAAATAATAAAAGAAATAATATTATATTTATAAAAAAAATAGATATTAATTAAGTAACTATTTTAAAAAAGAGCGTACTAAATTATATAAATAGTATAAAAAGTTAAGGGTAGTAAATAGTAAAACTAGCCCTTATTAATTTAGCTAATTCTTTATTATATATAAGGGTAAATCTGGGGGTATAAAACTTAGTAATAATAGTTAAAGTAATAACTTAAAATATCCGCCCCTTATAAAAGATTTAAAAAATAAAAAAGATCTTACCCCCTATACTAACGAATTAGATTATAATAAAATTAACGATATTAATTACTCTTTTTTTACTTTATTAACTTTTAAAAGATATACGAGGTTAAATAAATAGAGGGTAGTAAAAGCTTTTAATAAGTAGGCTTTTTTTTATAAATAATAAGGGAAGGTCCCTTAGGTAACGGATATAGAGGTAGTTAAAAAGGCGAATTTAATAGGGCTAAAGCCTATTTTATTAACGCTTAAGGAGAAGACGCTATTTTTTTTAATATTAAAAAAAAAATAAGATATTAAGTAAATCTAAGGATAATTAGAGGGGTCCTTTTTATATTACTTAGATTACTTAAATACTAAGCTTATATAAGTATTCTATACGAGCGAAAAGTATAGTTTAAATAATTTTTATAAAATTATCCTAAATATTAGGGTATTATAATAATTAATAAAAAAAAAGGGTAATTTTAAGTACTATAAAAGATCGTACTAATAACGCTCGATATATTAATAGTAGGTATTATAAAGATTAGTTTTAGCCTAGGTAAGGAAATCGTTATTTTAAGTATAATAAAAATAGAGATATATTTTAGAACGATAATTTTTTATATTTTACTTATTAATACCCTATTTCTCTTATATTTAAAAAATATAGATTAACTAGGTATTATATTTAATAATATAAAAAATAGAATTTTTAATAATAAGTATTTTAAAATAGTTAAACGATAATAGGGATATACGTTTATAAAGCTTATTAACGATACGAAGTTAATTAATTACTTAATAAAAAATAAGCTTAGATAATTATACTAAAGATTTAAATACCCGTTAGTTACGAGGCTATATAACTTTTTAAAGTAATTAAATAATAATAATATTAAAATAGGGGCGCTAGAATAGTTAATAAAAGTATATTATTAATACTAAATAAATATATAGAGCCTACGTAAATTTAAATTTAAATTACGTAATAAGCTTAATTTTAATTAAGAAATTGTTATTAATATCTTTTACTTAAATAGTTAGCTAATTTTATATATAATTAACGTAATTATATCTTTTTAAATAGGGTAATTCTTTTAGGATTTATAAATAAAAATAATATAAGTAGCCCTATAAAAGAGATAGATTAATATATATTAAGGACCGTTAAATAGTATTAAAACTAACGCTAGTACTAGTTTTAAATTAGTAAAATTTAGAGAAAATGCGACGGCTTATAGTATATAACTAAAAGTTATATTTATTAAAGCGCACTATAGTATTAAAAAAATAGAAAGGGTATATTAATAACTAAAAAAGGCGTTTAGAATTATTAAAAAAGAAAATCCCGATTTTATTAATAATAAATACTTCTAAATAGTACTTAAATATTATAATAATATTATAGGGCTTAATAGGCTTATATTAATATTATTAATATTTAAAGTATATTTAAAAACGACCTTAGCCTCGCTATTATTATTAAATATAAATTAACGAGCCTAAGTAATTAAAAAAGTAATATGGGTATTACGTAAAATAAGTATAAAAAAATAAGTTAATAAGATAATTACTATATATAATAAGCCTAATATAAGAAGTAATTTAAATATATTATTAAATTCGGATATATAAATATAATACGAAATTATTTAATAATAAGCTGGGCTATATAAGTTAATTTTTATTAATAAGCGCTCTTATATAATTACGAAAGATTATAACTAGTTACTTAAAGTATTAATTATAATAGTTAAACCGTATTATATAGATCCTAACGAGGTAATTTTTAATTTATAAAAATAAAAAGAGCTAAAGGAAACTATATAACCCGTAGTAAAAGTATAAGAAATTATTTTTAATAAAATCGTTATAATAATATTAATAGATAATAAAGAAGAGGAAATTATTAAAAAAGTATTAATATTATTAATAAGACGTTATAAAAAACTATAATAATAAGCCCTAACGTAGTAATTTATTATTAATAACGAGGTAATTAATATTTTTTATATAATAAAAAAAAAGCCGATTTTAAGCTAGTAGTTAAATTACGTAAAAAAGGCATAATTATAATTATTAAAAAGCTATATAAAGGATTAGATCTTATCGAAGTAAATACTTTTTACGATCGAGGGGTTTATTAATTTATCCTTTATAACCTAAAGAAGTATATAAACCTCTATATATTTAAATTACGAATAGTTTATAAAATTAAAGGGAAGCGAATATCCTAGCTATATAAGAAGTTTAAATACGTAATTTAGGGGTATAATAATATTAAAAAAGTAATACTATTTATATAATTACTTATTATATAGCGCTATAGTTAACGATTAATAATAGTATTAATAGTATTATTATAAAAAAAGGGATACGAGATTTAGAGCCGTAATATTACTTAGGCCTATATTTAATTAGCTATAGGGTTTATAAAAAAAATCTTAGCCTATTTATTAAAAGAAATAGTTAATAAGTACTTAGAAAGTACGATTATTAAAGTATTTAAGTTATTATATAGGCTCGTAAAATCGGGTATTTATTAATAAGCTACTTATTACGATTTTTATATTAATTAATTATTAATAATTATTTTTACGTACGACCCGTACTTATTAATCTTTAAGTACGAAAATAACTAATTTAAGATCGTTAGAATATAAACTAATAATATATTAAACCTATTTAATATTAATTTTATAAAAAAAGAGGATAGAGAGCTTTAAAAAGCAGGCTTTATAATAAAGCTAAAAAAGGTCCTTATAATAAATACCCCCTTAGTATTTAATAACGGGATTTTTATAATTAAAAAAGAAACCGTTATTTTTTAATAAAAGAGGTAAAATAAAAAAATTAACTTCGTTAATCCGAATATAATTAATATTAAAAAATAATATAAAGCTAAGCTTATATAAGGGGTATATATTATAAGTATATATTAGCTCGAGGCGATTTTTAATTACGTTAGGGTAGTATAAGCTATAAATTTAACTAAATAAAATATTAAAGTACTTAATAAGCGGCTTAAGTAATAATAAATAAATCTTAATTAAGGCCTCGTTTACTATCTAATTAATTTTAGAATTAATAAGCTCTATATTTTTATTAATAAGTTATTTACGAATAATAATAACTTTATTTCGTAATTAGGATATATTATTATCCTAATTAATAAGAGTATAAGCGAGAGCGAATTTATTATATATAGTAATATAATTTATTACTTATTAACTAAAAGTAAATAAGTAACGAGTAGTATACTAGTATTAGAGGTTTATAATATAATTAATAATATTAATCTCTTTTATATAATTTTAATAATACTAAGGAAGATTACTAATTAACTTAGCTTTTTATTTATTTTAATAATTATTTATACCGATTCCTATTCGTTATATAAATACTTTATTAAATTAGAAATAATAAAAAAAAAGAGGTTTATAATTAATATTATAGCCCTTAAGTAATTATATAAAAAGCGTAAAATATTCGAGATCTATTAGATTAATAATAAAAATAATTTTATAAACGCTTTTATAAAAATAGTATTAAATAAGAGGTTAGAATAATTCGTAAGTAGTAGAAAAGTTATTATATAAATAAAGGGATAGGTTATATAAAAAGAGTAAAGAAAAAAGAGAAAAAGAGATGACTTAATAAACGGGCCCGAGGTTAAATTATATTTCTAATTATAGTAGTTAAATTAATAAAAAAAAGAGAAAGTTAATATTAAATTAGAAATTTAATTTAACTATAATATATAGCTAACTATATAAGGGCTAATTAGGGGCTCTATTTATAATTATTATAGCTAGCTTAACTTATAATTAGAACCTCTTTTTTATACTTACTACGTAAATATTTATATAGTTTAATTAATCTTTTCGTTAACTACGGTTCGAACTAACTACTTTATAATAAGGATACTAATAGTTTATAATAGCGGCGGGCCCTTTATAATTTCGTAGGCGACTACGGCTTAGCTTATTCGCAAAGGGAATGAATGCTCGTAGGATAGTCCCTGTATCTTCGAAAAATTCGGACTGCTGGGCCTCGGTAGGCTGCCTTTGTAGTTCCGCAAACCTTGGATAGACCCAAGGCTTTGACTTCTAGATGCTGGAGCCCTGCATCACTGTTGGGTTTATGACGCTACTGTTTCCGTACGGCATGTTGACGGCTTTTTGCGGTGCAGTCACATTTACCACTACGAAATCAGACAGCAAGGCGGTCGAGGCCAACTGAGATGCTGCTGTCAGGAGAACTGAAGTTGTGATAGCCATGGTGTAAACGGTCCCAATGCCCCAGGGCATGTCGAAAGGTGTCCAACTGATCAAATCGTACGGCGGTGCAGGCATAGCTCTCAGCATAGAGACGAAGGGAGCCGCGCTGAAAGATATCCCTGTCCGTTCTATCATGAGCGAGGCGATGATTGCGGTGAACAAGCTCATCTGGAGCGCCAGACAAACACGCAGCGCAGCGGCCGTCAGAGTGATTGATCTAGACGCCCAGTCGGCGAAAACGATTTGACTCCATAATGTGTTTTGCACAACGACTTCTTTGGCCTGTATTGAAGTTTTCCAGAAAAAGCTCATGAAGCCAACAGCTCCGATGATGAAGACAGTGCCAATGCCGAGGACGTAGAGTCCGAAAGTGCCGATCGCTCGCCATCGGCTGGGCTCTTGCGCTGGGGTCACTTGACTGAGCAGGGAGCCAGCCTCGTTGATCAATGACGTCGCAGGGAAACTTTCCAATTCGGTATGTCGTAGTCCAAAGTTCCCTCGATAGCTTCATGCGGATCGATTAGCGTTGGCGCCCGTACTTCCTCATGCTCGCGAGATGACCGTTCTTGCGCAAATGTAATGGATGTACGAATTGATAACGAATTGACACTGCTAACTTCGGACACATCGTCTGTGCAGGGTGAAGTACTTGGTCTTCTATTCATATTGCAAGATGAATGAGTAACCGAGCGGAGTGCAGTCCCGAGTAGAAACTCGAGGCAGAAAGTTGGGGCAGAAGTGCCATTTAATCATGCTTGGGAACATCGCACGACAGACACTCTCTCAGCCTGACCCTACCACACTTGCTTATGCTGGCATGGCTCAGCCACCGACATATATGCAGTGCAACCCGTATTGATATTTTGACATAGTGGCTGGTATAGCTGCAATGTAACCCATGTTGTTATATTGCAGTAATGAGCTCATGCACCTATCTACTCACTTAAGAAAATTTACCTGTGTAGAGATGTGTCCATATTCTAGGGGTATGGATGCTGGCTTTCAACAAAATCTTCTGACACACGTCCTCTCAACTTAATTACTTCACAGCTATAGCTATGCAATTGAGAATTGATTTATTTTCGTTCTATAGAGCCTGGGGCCCCGAAAGTAACCAAAGTATTCTCTGCTAATGTGGTTCTTATCCCCTCCCCCCCTTCTGTCCCGGGTAAAGGGCAGGGCGAGGCAACTTCGATCATGTACCAAGCTGGCAGACTGAAACAGTGAGTTCCATCACCAGTAACACCAAAATTCCCTCGAATCAGTCTTAGAAACCACTTTGACACAGAAGGAAGCTTCGTCCTCCCCAGACTCTGGCTTATCGATCCCACACCAGATTTCGCTCATAGCCTTGTGAAAGAAGTCTCTGTCTCTGTATGGAACATGAATGGTGAAGCTTTCGAGGTTTTCAAAGTCCCCTTCGTGAACGGCGTCGGCAAGCCATTCGATGTCCTTGAAGTCTGAGTGGTGCTGGGCCAGGAAGGTTAGGCTTCGAAGTGATCGAGGTAATGTGGTGATGAACGCATTTGGGCCGTCCAAGGCGTTCTGATAATTCAAATCAAAGTCCGCTGGATCCACCGAAAGATGCTCGAGTCTTTGAAACATTCCAAAGGTATCGAACCACTCGTGCTCCTCCATTTCGATGTGGCATTGGACGTGAATGTCAATCAGAGTATCTGAATGTTGCGCCAGCGCCCGTCGGACCCTCATCGGAGAAATGTTCTGCTCATCCGAGAACCAGGAGAAACGCGTACTGTAATAGAAAGAATGAAGACCAGGCGGAATTTGGAGAAATTCTCCCTGGTTTGGGAAGTCGCTGTCCACAAGAGGTGCTTCCGAAAGAGACAAACGCTTGAGCCTTTTGAAAGTGTTGAAAGCCTGGACCGGGACGCTTTCAAAGCCGCAGCCTTCAAACTCCTCAAGGTTGGGTGCAAGACGAGTGAGCAAGTGAAAGGTTGAGAGATCGATGGTTGTAATTACGTGAAGGTCCAAACGAAGAAAGGTCAAGTTCGGAAGCAAAGCCTCCGGTGTCTCTGAGGGGGGTATCAAGAGATATGGCAAGACCGACCAAGCATCGTCAAAGTGGTTGAAAACTCCATAGTTGGCTTTCCAGTTCTGGCCACACAGCCCAGTGATCATGACTTGGGATACACCTCGAAGCTGATGGAAAAGCACCGAAGATAATACATTGTTGTATGACCATTGTCTACTTGTGTTGCCCCATAGTGCGCGGCTGAGGCTTGTCTGACCAATTTCGCGAGCCAGATGATCGAGTTCCTGGAAATCGTCTATAGTTCGCTCCAGGTGGCAAGAAAAACCTGTTCCAAAGTGTATCTGAACTTTATTCACCTTGGAGCGGAGGTCCTTGCGATGATAGAGAACCTTGATCAACGACAAGATGTCGAGGCCGGCTGGGTCCCGGACGGCGAGATAGATCTTGCGATAGAGAAGAGGTTGCGTTGCATATTGGAATGACTTCGAAACCCTAGAAAGAATCGTGAGCGTGTTCTGGTCGGCAATCCAGTCCTTCTTTACACCAAGTGGGGTGTCATCTTGGAAGCATGCGGCAATTTCACCCAGCATCTCGGGAGGAAGGCTCGATATCGATGCCATGATGGACGAGTGACACGGTGCGATGATTGCACGGCCGGGGGGATATGAAAGAACAAGGTCGACGGCTGGCTTGATACTATGAACTCGTTAGTTTTCAATATTCTCTAAGTAGAGTGGGAGTTTTCTACCTCTCCCTACCTTAGCTGAGGGGTAGGCAACAGGAGGGCGGTGGATGATGCTTGGATTTATCTTGCTGCTGCGGGACAATCCTCTGTCGGCGATGCGCGAGTGTCCTGCTCTGTGGTGTTTGACGAAGGGTCAAAACAAGATGGTGATGGTGAAAAGAAAAGATCTCTTTTGCAATGGGTCAGGAAGAAGTAGGGAAGGGAAGGGGAGGAAGAGAATAGAATCGACGGGAAGGAAGTCGAAAATAAATCTTGTGTGGAAGGAGCAAGAAGTGGAAGGTACCTCCCAAATTTTACTTCCATATCTTCTTCCCCAAGCTCGTCTTTCCCCGAAGCCAGGAAGGAACGAACTGTGACCTCGTGCCGAAACAGATTCCCTCAAGAATTGGATTCATTTGAATTCTGGAAGAAGTTCCTCCTATTCGACCAGATACAGTCGATATTTGATGATGGCAGTCTCTGGTTTCTTGGCATCACGAGAGCTCACAACTCTTTACCTTCACTTCACTACTTTAAGGTGGACCGTGTTGGACGCAAAGGAATGCTATTGTTGTACAGAACGCTTCTTGGAACTTGTCATGTTGGTCCTGCCTAGTACTACAGCATTACAATATCAAAATGATATCAAGCACAAGACCAGCAAGGCGTAGGCAGCTTCGATTTATGTCAGGTTTCGTGATTAGCTCTCACCTGATGGGGCTGCTATACTTTAACGGAGCATTCGATACTCAATTTTGTTCGAACTACGAAGTTTAGGGGAGAAATCAAACCCAAACCAGATCATTCCAATTCACAATGTCTACATTACATAGCCCGATATCTGGTGTTGAGGTTCCAGCCACGCTGAAGCAGTGAAGCAATGTACCGACCACCTCGCTGAAGACGATTCTTGACCCTCTGCGCGAACTCCCAGTGAAGCTTCTTGACACGGCATCTACCTTGTACTCTACCTTGGCGCTTCTGGGAACGTCGGTTCTTCTGCCTGTACAAGTAAGCATTCTTCTTCTTCCTTCGCTGGTAGAGCGTCTGCCGGAGCAACTGGCAGAGCTCCGTACCGGGGGGGGGTGCAGGTCGACAATGTAGTCATCGTCTTCGAAGCCTGAACCGGTCTTGGATGCGGTGGGAGTTCTGGGCGGAGTTGTCAGTTCATCGGAGCGACGCTGGAAGGTGCGCACTTGGTCTTGGCTATTGAAACGAACGCGCTTCTTTTCGACTCGATAGAACGACCCTCTTGAGTTCTTGAAGCAGCTTTGGAGAGTTGGCGTTGATTGCGTCATGTTGGATGGGATGCTTGGAGGACTATGAGGTTTAAGGCTTAGACAACCGGGCACTCGGCCTTATGTAGTCGTAGACAAGCTGGAGCATTTCGTCTCAGGCTGAAGGAGTGAAGAAGTCGAATACAGAATAAGCAAGGAGATACATGACATGTCGATGATATGGCTTAATTCGAACAAGGGCTGAGAGTACTGCACACTGTTACAACGAACTGTGAAAGAACAACCTTGGCCATGACTTCGAAGCCTGGCTTTGTCTCCGACTGAGACCCTGGGGCAGATCTCATCACCAATCTATAAACAATCATTCTGTTGACGACTACAAGACCGCGAATACAATCAAATGTGTAAGAGGCCTGTTTAGGATTATGGAACGAGAGGCTTGATGGATCTGGCCAGCCCAATTGAACACCGGAAATGCGGGGTGATCGTTTCGGCGCCGAGATACCTGTCTAGGCTCAATGAACGGCATCCGGTGAACAGGAGCTCCGACCGACGTCATTCTCATGCTCTCATATCATTTGTGGTGATGGTTTTCTTCCTCAATGCTGCACATCGCTCATTTACACAGACGGTGGTATATCTCTTGAGTTTTGCTGCTATCGCCGGGCTTGAGATGCCTCGTGAATGTCACTCCAGCAGCAGGTCAATCCTCCCCAGTCTGGTCCGGAGCGATTTACCCCGCTACCCCGCCATCCGGCCATTCAGGCCCCGGTACCACTACACTTCCAGCGGCAACCTCTCACTTTCAACTCAACGGCTCTCATTCCAGCTCACCTCATCAACCATGGCTTTCATACGCCCCTACAAGGCATCTGACTTTGATGAGACGGGTCATATCGTGCGTCTCAATTCTCCTTATCTTGGCCTATCTTTGTTCCACAGCGACTGACAATGAACCCAGTGCCGCGCCACGCTCCCACCGTCCCTCGAGCGTTCCGAAGCAGCGACCAGGACCGCGCCTTACCTATGGACACATCAGTATACTCATCTATCTCCTGAGACTTGTCACATACTTGACGATGGCGAGGGAAACTGCGTCGGCTACTGCATTGGCTGCCCCAACGTGAACGACTTTGCGAGCGCGTACCCGCAGTACATCAAGGAAGTCCTTGAGACGTCCAAGGAGCTGGACGGAAGAAAGCCTAAGAGCATCGAGACGAAAGCGCCATGGAACTTCCTAGACACGGGGGAGGTGAATGAGGAGGCTCTCCTCCAGCAAGCATTCAACCCGACATGGCTGGTGCTTGACGATGAGCGAAAGGAGCTTTGGGGCAACTGGAAGGCTACGATGCACATCGACCTGCTGGAGCCATGGCAGGGCAAAGGCTGGGGAAGAAAGCTGATTGACAAGTTCGTTGAGAGTCTGAAAGAGGCCGATCAGCGCAACGGTGGCTCCAGTGGGAACCGGCTCTATGGTAAGGGCGTGCATATTGGCGTCGGTGGTGAGAACGACAAGGTCGTGCCGTTCTACGAGAAGCTGGGGTTTCGGGTGTATCCTACAGACGAGAAGGGATCAATCTGGATGGTGAAGGACGTCGAGTAGCTTTTTACTTCGCCCAAATCCTTTTCCTTACATCAAGTTCAATTCAGAAATACCAACACTAGCAACAACGATCTCTGGCCATCAAGATGTGACAGTCTAGACAAAGTCGAGTCTCCAGATGTCTCCCAACCTCGAATTATCTTCAGCAAGACCTCCATGAACAACCACAGCCTGCTTGCTCCCATCTACCACCACATCCGCATCAAACCAACCTCTTGGCGGCGGCGCATCCCCCTCGAAGAAGACCTTATCCCACGTCCCGGCCACAATGTCGAAAGCCCACACGTCCGAGAGCATCTTGCCAGCACCAGCGTGACCCAACGAGCTAGGATCCCGCTCGCCGAACAGCGTCACAAGATGCGGCTTACCGTCCACCTCAACCGCGACGAGCGCTGATACACTTCGCGCCTCGGGGCCTTTGACACCATCTGGCTTGTACGTGATCGTAGACCAAGCCGCGGAAGCGGGGTTGTAGACATCAAGAGAACCGCCTTGCTCGGAAGTGCCATCGAAGCCATTGATGCGATATAACTTGCCTCCAGAGAAAGCGATGGACGCGCCGCCGCGCGCTGGAGGAGGTGCTGCAGCGAGCTCCTTCCACGTCTTCGACTCGATATTGAAGGACCACAGATCGGCGAGGCGGCCTTTCTCTGGGCAGCCTGCGTGGATGTAGATGGTCTTGTTACCGTCCGAGGCAGTGCAGTGGTAGCTGCGTCCGGCTGGGTGTGGTGCCGTTGCGTCGGTCGGCTTGAGTAGATCCCACCGGGCTGGGGATGGGGTGTATCGCCAGACGCTGCCAGATTCCTCGACGGGTTCCATGGCGATACCGCCGCGGCCGGAGAAGAGATAGAAGGCATCTTTCAGCGCTGTGCTGGGGGCTCCGACTCTGGGAGATGGGGCTTCGGTGTCGGTGGAGATGGTCTTGACGGAGGCTGAGTCTGTGGTGAAGAAGGTCTGTTAGTGGTGCAAGTTTGGGGTATGAATGGGTGAGTATGAGACAATGCCTTTCCCGGACTGAAGTTCAACAACATCGAGTTGGTTGTCTACGGGCTCTCGTGGGAGGAGTTCACCGCCGAAGACGAACACTTGAGTCCCGATTACCGAAACCGCTTGCGATGAACGACTGAGACGGTCGTTCGAAGCAAGTCGAACCCAAGCAGCAGAGAGTTTAGCCATTTCCGCGACTATTGAAGACTTGAGTGGATTTACTGGTCTGGTTTGGGGAGTGAATGAAGTATATTCGCAGACAGCAGCCGTACTTATAGCTAAATGCCCTTGTCTTCAGATCCGTCATGTCTCGATCTGATAAGGAGCTTTACCCAAGACCGGTTCCAAACCGAGCGCTCCACCACGTCATCTGACCAACGACGTAAAGTATCGCCATATTCCTGGATCACTCACAACGTGTCACTGAAGATGTCGGACGCATGATGGCTCGGCAGGCAGGGATGTAATGTGCTCAAACCGGAATCACTTTGCCCTCCGTGACTTATGTCATCGGAGCTGGTTTGGCATATTTTCCTCCGCTTAGTCATGTCAACGGGCTCAGACACACCTTATCTCGGGGACAGTACTCTGCCATGTGCAACACGGAGGAGGAGAGGCTCCGTTCGATTTCTTAACATCGAAATCGGGTCAAAAGACAGCTTTCAGACTTATACACACCTCAAACCCAGTGTTTTCCAGCATATAATTTCCGCCTTATACAAAACCAAGCCCTCTTCAGCTAGCAGGTTTGTCCATGAGTAGATCATTTCTCCAAGAAGGTCACGGACACGAGATTTCATTTGCAAATATGATAGAAGCCTTGGAAAAAATAAATGAGAAAAAAAGAGTTCACCCCCCCCGGTGTTGAATTGGGGGCTACATCTCTTGGTGCTCATGCTGGGATTAATTGGTGCTCGTGCTGGGATTCGAACTCGTATGCGCTGAGCCTGTCGTCGAGTAGGCTGGTTGGCGAATTGATTGTTGACCATAAACCACTCCACCACCCAGCCAGTTTGACCTGACCCGTCGACCTAGACGGGCGCCTGCTGGCTGGTGACAGGAACGAAG